GTCGCAAACAGTGGCGCTCGTGCATCCACTCGTTGTTTTCCTAACACCACTCTGAATGAATTACCCATCTTCCGCTTGAATTTGCTTCGACATTCCAATCTTCACTTCGCTCTTTCATCCAAATGGGCAACTAAAACCATTGCGCAATACATACGCCCTTCCAGTGAAAGGGTTTTGTTGCGCCGGCACCAGTGATGCTGTAAATGAGCGAACGCTAACCTGGCGTTGAATACACGCTGATGCAGCAGCACTTACACCAGATTATTTCGTCAGGACAGGAGACGCTGAACAGTTTGACTTAGGGCTAAGAATTGACGCATCTGTGCGTTTGTTTGTAATATGAAAAACTGCATTTTTGATATTTAACAATTTAATCACTATCTGCTATGAAGTGTAGCACGTTCAACTACAATGATCGATGAACACCATACCGCTTAGTTTACACGTTTAGCGGATAGCCAGTTTGGGTAGCTCAAGTGTTTCGCGTGGTCCATTCATAATGCTTTGTACCTGGGATTAAATTCCAGTGAGCATACAAAGCGGACGATTCCTAACAACAGTGGAAAAGCTGACCAAGGCACCGGGGGATTTTTACTAATAACCGACGATTTGATTCAGTATATCCAGTTTGCCTTTGTGAACTCAAAGATGTCTGTACTATTTTCAAGTTTATCACACTTGACTTGTGTGTAGGTGCGGTATATCAATCGGTTCAGACTCTATTTGAATTTAAAATTTGAGGATAATCTTATCTGTTTAACTAGAAGAAGGAACGCACGTCATAATTTGTACTGGGATGACAGGCTCACCAAACAGGACAAAATAATATAAATCAGGCGAACAGTTCACTGTGGAACCTACGGGCTTAACCTATTGAGGCCTTCTGTGACTTACCACTCCAAGTCTCAGGGTTGGGCTGCCCGTCTTCTTGCACACCATAAATGAAAAATACAACTCACATAAACCACGGAATGCGCACTCTAACTACGAACTCAAAGTACTCTACTGCCCTCATTAACATTGGTAGTTGAAATCGAAATGTTAATTCAGTACACCGCTTTCTCCAATCTTCGTCTCCATTAGCTTTATTTGGGACCGAGGTAAAAATCTCTTCCTCGTCAAACACTAGTGATCTTCAATTACCTAATTACTCCCTCCATTCTTATTTTTATCTGAAAGCTGATGTCCGCGCCTATATTCAACATTTTATTGCTTCTTCCTAACTTTCGCACCTAGATTTCCTCAACTGTAAATTCCATCTTATACGGCTGAAACTTCTGTTCGCTTCTTTCAACCACTATTTTTGTACCGTTTACAGTTCCCCGTGCAGCATCGATACTTCTATTTTTGATATTCTCTCTTCCAACATTGAGACACTAATAGCGGCAGATCCTAGCATCCAAATTACCTTTGTCAGAGATTTCAATGTCCACAACAAGGAATGGCAGAAACACTCTTCAGACACTTCGTCCATAGAATGCCAAACCAAAGCCATGGCTGTGGTCAAAACCCTCAGTCAACCAACTGACCTTCCCAGGAGCATCCTTGATCGTATTGGTAAGCGGGCCCACACCCTTGACCCCATTCTTACATCCACTTCCTCTTTTTTCTGCATCACTTTTCTTTACCATCAGGCTCGTCGAATCATTACGTTCTTCACTCATTTATCTCATTCAACTTCACCAACTAACTCCAAAGGCATCTGTTGGCGTTACGACTAAGTCAACTCGGACGGTCTGCGTGATTTTCTGGGTTGTTAACCCCGGAAGGAATGTAATTTCAAATCTGACGTTCCCACTTATATTTCGAAAGTCATAGGTATGCATCTTTATATGTAAGCAGGTATGTATCTTCATATTATAAACTTTTCAAAACCCGTCAAACCCCGATCCCGAGTGGTTCAATCATGCCGCAACCGTACTGTACGTTTTAAAACCGCATTTCGTCGTTGGCGCTACTCAGCTAACCCAACATACCGCAACCGCTTCGTAGAAGCCAAAAACAAATGCTCACTCAGCATACAGAGAACTAAGGAACGTTTCATTTGCCACAAAGCTGCGCGCTTGGCTTCGTACGCCTCTGGTAATCGAACATTCTGGTCCTTCGCTGAAGCGGTTTCACGTAATTTCTGCCCTTCCAACTTTCAAATCCGCCCGATGCTCGAATACTTCAGTCACGTTGGAGTAGAGTTTGGTATTCCGCGCTTTCTTTCCTCGACCATGTTCAACCTAAGGCTATTAGGCTGATTGATGAGCCGTCTTTAGCTTACAACCTGCAATCGATTTGCCATTACAGGGCAGTAACTTCATCATCTCTTTTCTATCGTTACTATTTTGGTTTCTGCTGCTCTAAACAGGCTTCAGCGATTCCCCTCTCCTTGACCGTTTCTTGCTTATTTCGTTCTCAGGCGGGCAGTCGTCTTTTCCCCCAGGACTGCAAAATTATGAAACATTCCTTCTATCTCCGTGTTTCAAAATACTTATAATCTTATTCTTCTCGAAAGCAGGATCGACAAATTGATTCTCATTTTAATGTTCCCCACATACACTGCACTTTACAGTATGTCACTTTTTTATTACACACTTTCGTGTGACGAGCAGCAGACGGGGTGAACCCCACAGTCACGAGGACCTGATATTCAGTGTTGGAAACCGGTGACCTAAGCCCCGGGAGTGGTGAACCACATAAGACCCCGCTGGGTCAGGCATGGCATTGATTACGGGTTTTGAACCTTCTGTTGTAAATCACTTTGTACAATAAAAAGGTAGAACAGATCTACTATCATTTGAACACCAAACACTCATCATTATCGTACAGCGAAATACAGAGAAGCGAACTTCACTGATCGCTGCCAAATTCGCAATGCATATCCATTGGGGTTTGATGGACGGGTACTGCTAGGGTGTCCAGCCAAAATGCGGGAGAACGATTAGGGTTATCAACCAAAGCCTTTAGTTCTGACAAGAACCTAGCTGCAAGGCGGGTGAAGCGAAGTGGAGGCCCATTTAATTGAATCAACTATTCCACTACTTTTTACTGACTGAAACGCAAATTCTAGTCGAACCACCAATCTGGAGGACCAGGAGACTGAACTTCGCTCGACCTTCCAGACATGATTAGATCTTCGGCTTGACAAAAGCCATCCTGTGTGACTCGTTGGGTCAGAGGTGCATAAGCCATCACACCACGTCAAGGTGCAGTCTCGTCGTGATGGACCAAACACTAAGGACAAGCAGTGAAGTAGCATGACACTGGAAAAGTATTTCACGGAAACCCTCAACGGCTGGTAGCAGATAGCTTCTGAAACTATCTAAAACGCCGCCGGCTTTAGTAGCAAATTACCGATGGTCCATTGTTACGGCTAGATAAACGTCCCTAGTCTGAATCCAAAGCAACAATTCACAGAAGGATATAAATTGCAATACCAAGTGAACAAACCAACAATTAGGGCACTAAGATAAAAGAAATAATCATGCTAATCAGTATGAGATGGATAACAAGTACACTCATACTCTACGACAGCAGATGAGAAGTGAGAACGTGGTTCACCAACGAGGTATTGCAAATTCCCGTAGATTGGAGGATCAATGAAAGAACGATGATAAGCTTTGAGGTGAACTTTGATTCATTCCGCTTGTCCTATTCGCTCGGTTCCTACCGCGGGATATATACAATCAAAGGAGTTCTATTCTTAGGCCGAATTTCAGACAGTTCCCAGGTATACATTTTTCGTTTAGTTGTGAGTGAAATGCAAAGAACGACCCTCCCCCCGCAAAGTGAATAGACGCTACTTTTCTTTGATAAATTTGAGCATGTGTTTGATCGCAATGGGCCAAATTCAGATGTGAATTCCTAGATAGTTTAGTGCCACCACAATTACAATTCTAGGTCATATCAACTTACTGATTACTGATCCTAAACANACGTGTACTGTACAAAGCACTCAAGGTTTAGCTTCAGATTATTTTCGGTTTATCGTAGGAGCATTCTTATCTCCAGTAAACAATTTCTGCAGATTGATTGTCTTCTTCGTTTTGGATCCCCAAACAAAACAGGGGTGGTCCGCGATGAGATTGATACAGCTGTTTTGTTGCACTGAAAACCTGGTCGAAGTGACCCCATAATAAAAGGTCTTAAGATCTATTAATACGCATAGTGTGACAGAGCATAAAAATGATTCATCACATGACAGTGGTGATCAACACAAAGTCAAAGAGACAAAAGAAGACTTTAGCTCAAATTGACGCTGGTTCGTTCACGTATTAGAAGGAACCAAATAGAAAAAGCATGCGAATCCCATTTAATCACAAAATACGGGGAATTTACGAAGAACGAACAACCAGGCTAGCGAATGAAATTAATTTAACTCACCGGTAATTGGTCGGTTTAAATGGACCGCTTTTGCTCACACCCAAATACTTCGCTTGTTCGTCCGTTAGCTCAGTTAACCGGGCGTTGAAAAGTGGCAGATGTAGCGTGGCCACATATTCGTCTGGAAAAGAATCGTCGTAAGACGTGCATGGAGGAATCAGACGGGTGGGAAAACAGCTGTTCATCAGCTAATACGGTGGAAAACTTTGTTGTCGAAAGACGGATTGAGAGTGAACCAAACTCAGTTCCTTAGCCGTTCGGATCATACGGAAATTGAAGACACTGCTCCACCTTCAAAAGTTGAAATAGCTTTGGATGTGACACTTTTAATAAAACAATAACGGCGACAAATGAGTGTTAACGTGAAAACTGCTCTTGAAGAATGACATCAACACACGCTGTCCAGGGGCTAAAACAAAACTTATCGTTTTCCAAATTGGCTGCAATCACATCGTTTCCCAAAACGATAGAAAAATCGAGTTTTACTTTAGGACCTCGTGTTCGTAGCAAATTGCGCGACGCTAAGCCAGACAAAACAGTGGGACATATGAATTAAGGAACTTGATAAAAATAACCGTTTACTGTGGCATCGGCTGTCTACAAAGAAGCGTTTTGGGTTCACCACCCGGACCCCGTTGAGATTCCTGGCGTCTATTGATTAACACATCCCCTTGGTATTGGAATATATCATGATATGTTTGCTATCACGAATTCAAGAGACAATGCTCGTGGGACATCAGGCAAAATGGCGCCATTCCGTGTATGGATGGACTTTCAACAATGCACAACAGCGCCAACGTGTATTATGTGGTAAGTGGAAGACAAAATCTATTGGATTTTGCAGCTTGTAAGGCATGGAAACGCATCCAAATGGAGCTCGTAGGGTGAATTACGAAAACAGAATCTCTGCTGGATATTGCAGACGAATTGTTTCTTAGCTGACACTCAACCATCGACAATTTGTGCAACCTGTTCTCTGAAGATCCAAACAACAACGGGAGAATGTACAAAACGCGGGGACGTTAAAGTAAATTATCGAAAATCTGCCACAATTGTGAGTGGCAATTTCATAGCACTCATGTTTTAAGTGCTTTCAGAGAGGTTCAACCCGCAAGCATGAACTCATGTCAGCACAACCGTCTTGATTTATGTATGTCATTGTCCTGCTCTCGGTAAATTAAATCGTAACGGTAGAAACGCACACGGAACGAAACCACAACCAAACCAGGGAAGTAAACCATAACTGACTACAACGGAAATGGATTCATGTTTACGGTAATGATTGATTGTCTGACGGGAGTTAATTGAAGTTGAAAAAATAGTTTACCAAACTCATGTAGATACCCCGTCTTATAAGATTCCCATACTTAACTGACGGAAAGAGCCTTCTTTTGGCGGATGCCGGATATAGCGGGTGTGACCACTACAAAGTTCAGGTATACAACACGAACAGGCGCTGCACAATGTAAACTGGGCAGTTATTGCAATGGTTTACACATACTTGAAGCTAATAGAATGACACAAATATCTTTGAGTACCAAAGACGGAAGTTCTGCAGTAAACATTCAATTTGAAAGCGCAATCCTACCACGTACTCCGGAAATTAAATCGTAGCATTTCCAATAAAATAGTAACGAAAAGCACTGTTTGTGTAGGTGACGTAATGAAGTTCTCAAGGATAACAACTACCAAGCTTTACTGACGGATCCCACGAATCTACGGTGAGATGGAAAACCTAACTGGGTATAACGAAGCAGAAGAAAAATGTGGTCAACAAAGATACGAATCAACAGTAGCCGACGTGGAAAAAGAATAAGTCTGTGAGATGAATTGTATAAAAGTTGCCATTCCCCTTCCCCCAAGCTTTGTGTGTTTAAAGAGTGGAAGAAGGGAGACAGCTCTTTTACTAGTAAGATCAGCATTACACTTGTGGTATATTGAGGGACCTTATCTGATTCACCACTTCAAGTTTTAGAGATTAGAATGCCGGTACCATAGCACGATAATGACCATGGGATTTATTTCTGTTATACTTTAACACAATGAGATGTGTAATAATAAAATGAAAATATATAGTCCACTGACCCATCTTTTTCGGGAGTAGGTAAACATCATTTTTGTACCGTCCGACAGGTGCATTGTACAGCTCGATCAAAGCCAGAGCCTGTAATAAAGCACGTAAGAAACCGTATTAGAACAAGCATCAAATAAATTTCTCGATTTTTATGACACGAAAACTCATTCCCTTTAGGTGAGAATGCTTTAGATAAACATGGATTTTCTTCAAATAAAAATATACACAAAATACACTACCACAATTTTGGAATGATAAGCACATTTGTGTTGCTTACTTGAGTACTAGCACTGACAGAGACGACAATGGACGGTACGGTAGAACAGCTGAGATTAGCAAGTCGGCCCTGAAAATGCAGGACAGGTAAAAAAAAACATGAATGCTACCAATGAATATCAAATTACAACACGATGTCCATTTGGATGTAATCGGAAGCTATGCATCAGCCGAGAAAGCCAGTAGTATTGTATATACCACAGCACGATTTTCGAAAAAGTGACATGCTTATCGATTAAAACAGTATATAAAGTTTGATGGACGTTTTGAGACCAGCTGGACTCTACAGAGGCTGACGCAATTTGGTTAGTGGAAAGGTAACGACATATCTAGACAATCCCGTGGGTTTTCNCTAACAAGGTAAAAAGCAAGGCAAAGCGGTTACATACAAATGATCATTAGTGATTCTTGCTATGGAATCAATTGTGGGGCTCATTTTGCGGAACAGCAAAATAGAAACAATGCATACAATTTGACTCGTAAAAAGGATCCTGATTTTGTTCAGTGAGCCAAAGGACGAGAACAGATATATTATGGTGGGAACTGCAGGCTTCCGTTATACTGAGAAAACTAAAAATAATCAAATTACGATCGACTGATGGAGCCCTGGTGAATCTGGAACAGAATATGTAAAGTGAAGATAAACGTAGACCTGCGATATCAGCAGATCACAGTAATGATAACACCGATGCTACCATTAAATGCGGGACATTCGGATAATTTGTGAGAAGGTAGTAGTGAGACCATCGAGCTAAGGTGATAGTGACTTTTGCCAATTGGGCACTAACCAATGGGTTTTGGCAATAGCATTTACAGCCTAAAATAATAAGAATTGGAGGTAAATTAAATTTCACAAATAAATGAATGCAGACCCGATGTGTCACATTCCAAATATGTAGTGGAGTTATACAGGAAGAAAACAGTTGAGTCAGAAACTTGGGCCATAAGGAGAGAGCAAAATCCAAGTGTATCTGTTTGATCACAGTGCACAGAAAACGGAGATTAGAGTAAATAAAATAAATTCGACGTGAAAAGTGCGATTAGTGGGCATATATAACTGCAACACATGGAGGCACACAGCAACGTTTGGTGGAATAAACGTAATGAAAATAGTGATTAAGTCCATTCGGATTTGTGTCACAATACCAAGTAGAGAATGTATGGAATGAAACAACGTGAAATTAGTTCCTGAAACAAAGAGTGTGCCTCTGACAAAAAGTTGGAATTTAAACGCGAATTTGTGGGTGAAACCCATCGACAGTCCTGGCAAAACAGCCATGGGAGTCATTGTGACGGTCGCCTGTCACACGCTCTCGTTGTGGTGTACGGTGCACAGAACAGAAGTGTGGACGAGAAACGATAAGCTACAGGAATGCAATGACATGAGTGCTGGCTACGAGCAGATTGCAGAGGTGGTATGGGATACAGACGGAGTGCTTATTTGCAGAATCTATAGAAGTTTAGAAAGACTTAACTTGTTGTCTAAATAATAAGATCACAAGCACCACAATATATCACGAAAGCGGAATATTGTAAAAAATTATTGTCTAGGAGACAAAATGTTTGATAGGACGACCCGTATCTACTCGATGAATTTTGATGAATTTACCGTAAAAATAACGAAATGGAAGAATGAAAACCGAGAAAACCAGAATCAAGACGATTGAAAATCCATGAATGAAATAAAAAGAGGAGTTCGATTTGCTAACCGGAATATAGAGCAGGTTTCATAAATGAAATGCAGTTGAGGTAACTAGATCGATTCCCGCAAATCAAAATGGCCTGTGTAATTGATACCGAAAAAATTGTAACATTTATTTTACTTTAGGCTTAAGGATTGAACCGGGACGGAAATGTGGACACACGTCTCACGGGATCATCGGTATGAACACTTTGGTAAACTGAAAATCGCTTCCACTAAACAAAGAATAGTGTCCGGAGGTNGGAGGTTTTTCAAAAACCAAGTTGACGGTCTTGGAGTTAAATGTGGTTCATTATGAATACCTTGTTAAGCACGGCTCTTGTGAGGAAAAGAATCGTTAGGCTGCACCCAGATCCCATTAGGTGACAGCTATATTGCCGGTACTTCAATAGCAATATCATAGTAAAGCCCCAAGTAATTATCTTACACATTTCGGGAGGTATGCTAATAGTTTGCAAAACAGGAGAAGGATGTTTTCACTAAGGGTTCACTGACCATCACCGTTGTGCCAGCGGCCTATTTTACCACCGGTAAATATTTATTCACGGTAGAGATGAACGGGTTCTATGAAGCTGAAATACTGACCAAGCAGTTTTATATGTGGCTGATTTTCACGTGATGCCGAATTTCACCACGAAGGCAGACATTACATTGGATAAACAAAACAAAGAAAAATGAAAGTACAAGAACATTGCAAACTATGGGGTAAGAGAACAATAATTGAAAGCCAGTGACAATGATGAACAAAATAGAAGCACTTAAGGTAAGAAAAACTCCACAAACAGACTGATTTCGGATTGGGTTCAGAACAGAACAACTAACTCGTAAGAAAAAGTCATACCACTTGAGAACATGGTCTTAAATACTTTCGAAAAACTGCTTCTTAATCCACTCGTAGTGACAGAGTAGGGTTAGGGGAAGTAATTGTTTTGACGATGAAATTGACTCAGATCGGCGGTGGTCAAAATTATTTTAGTAATCGAAAACAGAAATCAGCTGGACACAGATCAAAAGATGGGAAGCAGATGATAAATTTCTATTTATGTGGCATAATTTTAATGAAAAAATTAAAAACGTGACTATTTCCATGGATGAAGTGAATATATATATATATGACAGGCTTCAGAGCAAGCTTGGTGCCAACTCAACAATAAAAATAAGAGAACATGGGGACGATGGGATACACAACAGAGTGAAATGGAGTCAGACAGTACAGTTGGATGACGAGAATAACAAATGTTTTGTTTGTTTTTCCGCACATTTTTTCGATATTTTTTGTGTTAGTTTAACGTTAATGGTCTAACCAAATTGAGATTCTCACTATTATTTGAATTACCACTTAAAATGGGACGGCTGGAGCTTTAAACATACGAAAAGATTTAGAGAAAAGCTTGATGTACCGAGTTTCGGAATAGCTAAACAACTGTTCAGAAACTTTCTCACTATTCCATTTATCAAACAACAGAAAAAGTTAGGGTTAGACGATGGAAAATGTTGGTCAATATTAAGTCAGTACTCAATCAAGAAACTTGTTTAACCATTTCCCTTCTCCGCAGGGTTGTCTCCACAAAACGGATGGACTCACTTCAGCTATTAATACGATTCGTTTTCCATCCATCCAAATCACGTGATCAACTTGAGACCGAACTCGCTCCCACGTAAGATCAGGGGTTTGTAATGAGCGCTGAGAGGCACGATAAGAAAAAGGTGAACCGTGAAGAAAAATGTGTGAACAAGTCCAAAAAACGGAGAGAAGGGGATGGTCGGATCAATTCATAAAAGCGATACCGTTAGTTTGAGGCGGTCGACAAGCACACATTACGGTTAGTCTACCATTATTAAACAACAAGTGAGGAGTAGATCAGCTGTAGAGCATTTCAAAATGACGGCAAACAGACCGAATACCCAATATGGCAATGACACTGAATAACCGATATGATCAAGGCGATCCAGAGATCTCCGTAACCATAGCAGCCTTATACTAGGCAATATGAAATGAACGACACGTGGATAAGATAAACACCGATGAATAGTCGGTATACTTATTTAAGAGACGACAAATTCGAAAACTGCCACAAGGTAATAGTTCAAAAGTGAAAACCGGAAATGGTCATCAGAAATGACTTTTCACGTATTTCATAAGATGTTCGTACACCAAAAGACCAAATGAACAACACAACAGATTCGGACAATTTGATAGTGATAGATGCGAGTGCGTCGAAAGCTTTGATTTATAATCATTGTTTACAGGAATGGTGACATTTACTTGGCCCACGGTGCACAATAACGCATAATTGGATGTATGAATGACATTCACAAGGTGTGAATTCGAATAAACATCTACAAATCCTTCAGATTTCATCTTTTCGCACCAACGTCGATTTCATCAACCAAACATACACTACGGAAGTAAACTTGGGTTTAGATTCTATTCTAAGTCGTACGCAGTACATATTTAATGGCCTTTACGGAATTCTAACTCAATATTCCTTTCATGTACTAAGCCAAGGCTGGAGCTCATAATAATTATGGATTCAAGTTTAGTCATATGTCATCTTCAGAGAAAGTTAATCAGTCAGCCGTCGCTCCGAGACACAGTATGCCATATACTAAATGCAACTGAAGGTTTCTTACCAAATTTGTACTACAGAAGGGCTCAAACGACAGCAAAAGTTGAGCCTAGTTTTTTACGAATGTAAACTTGCCTATATGCGCTGACATTTATGCTTGAGGATAGAGTCTGAATCAGGGGCAGTCAAAATATGTGCTACCCATCCTACATTGCTAGTCAGAAGTGCATGCTAATTAAAGATGAAATCAATTTAAGTTGCACCAGAGACAACTTGTGAAATGTAGTGACCAGTTCGTTTACCACCAGCAAGTAATGAACCGCGCAGCAAAGAAAGATGGCATGATTCTTTTGGGACGGGTTGAGTTCAAAGGAGTGTATTGAAAAGATCTAGATTTTCTTCATTTTCAATGAAAGATAACAATGAATCACAAGAGGGGCGAGATGCCAGATAAGGAACGATAAACATAGGTGACGCAAAACTGTATATGGACGTGGAGAAACAATATGATCACACAGGTAAAACGGTTGTGCTCTATATAGGGTATTGCTATGTGAGGCCAGCGGGTTTACATTAGTCATATGTCGCGATTCTTGTGTTTATAACCGAGTTAACACAACTTGGGATTGTTTGATTCTTGTGTATCAGAAAACGAATGGACTGTATTATTGAATCTCAAGGATACCATGAAAATGGTTTGCGAATCAACTGTCAGCTGACGATTGTAATTTTCAAATATGGTTCCTCGCGGAATATGGCATAAAAGACAATCGGGTCTGCTTAACCGCCAATTAAAATCAAGGCAATAGGCGTGAACGTACGGGTAAATATCCGTAACCCTTAGGGTTGTTACACACCCCTTCGGGGTAGGTGGGAAATATAAAACCATTCCGTCTGTGAACCACACATATATGATTCGGACGAAGGGTGATGTTTCGTTTTAGCCATCATTCGGATGTTTATATTCACCGGTGCTGTGTCATTTCACTTAGGTGCTTAAATAGTCATTAGGCATCGGAGCAAATCAAAGACCTCACACAGCATGTAACACAAAAATATTCATTAGCAGGTGATTAGGCTCAGTTAAAAAAGGTCTGAACAATAAAAACAAACCGAAAGAGCGCATAGCAGCAACTTAAGAGTGCGGTATTAGAAGACCCTACTTCTGGTGCTTCATTCTAGGATCATTACCTTATGATACAGACTGGGAGTATCAAAACCAACTTGTTCCCGCTAAAGCAAATCCAAATGATGGCTATATTGGGAAAACAGGGGAATATTAAAGTCAGGTTAATATGATAGCAAAAATACAGATAATCTAACAGAGTAGCTCTCTATTATTTAAGGAACGCATGTAAGCCAGTATTACACATCCAATTCACGTACTGTAGCATCCGGAGATCAATCTATGGGATGCAAACATTTAGCTCGATTTGGTCAATAAATTACTATCGATTGCGGTCATTGCACATCTACAACCTCTGTCTACCCGATTTTGCTCCCAATATCGGATGCACCGTGTCTTTTGGAATAAAAAATGAACTTCTGTTCCGGGCTGTTAAGCTTTCATTTAGCTTTCCTAAATATTCTGGTAATATATTTATTAGGTCGAAATTTACTGCTCAGTCACATTTGGTTGCTGCTGACAGGAAGAAATTCGAGGCATCGGTCTATGTGACACGAATGAAACAACCATAAATGCTCCCAAGGATTTTGAGTTATGGGAAATGTATTGGGAAACTGGACAGATGTTTTAATAAGCGAGCAAAGGAATACATAGACGAATAAGTGCGCTAGGCTATGGTGTACACTAAGAACACAAAAACGTATCGTCTGCTTGCATATTCGACGGTCTTCCACTTGCACCAGATGGATCACAAGGTCGATGTCACCTGATCCCCATGGATTCTCATCATCTTTAGTACGGTTCAAACTGAAGTTTATTGCAGGAACTATTGCGTTACTGGGATGAGGTGACAGTTACATGGCTCATTCTTTGATCATTCTATCCAGCCCTCCAGCAAAACATGGACCTTTTATTCCTTTTTATAAAGATCATTGTACCGTGATTTGTTTGGCTCACAATTTGAACTCAGATGTAAGTGAATATATATTCTATAATAAACAGTATGCGAACGACTGGAAAAAACTTCCCTGGATGCACACGACCGGTTGCGCAGTTCTTGCCGCTCGTCAGGCATGCGTATCCGGTAATGTTTTGTCACTTCACTCCTATACTGGTACCCAGGAAATGTATTATCGTCACAATAACCTTGTTCGCAACACCGGGTGACCATTGGATATATATATATATATTCTATCCAGCACAGTCAACGTACTTTAAACAACTGACTTTTTTTTTAGCATTTTTGGAGTATGCCTCAAGGTTATTGCATTTAGAGTGACATGTTTCTGCTTGGAATGAATGTACAAAACAGAACCATCTCGCAAGATACGACCTTGATGTCAATATCTATATTTTATCAATGGGCAGTTGTGAAATACAGTGACTTGGCATTTATTTATTTGATTCAACGCATGCATATAAAAAATGAACAAATTCAGTATTAGAAGCACAATGTATGCTATGTATAATTATTTATCAGCAATATAAAATAATATTCCCTAAATGGGTCACGTTAGGCGGTGAGTCACCCTTCCATTGTATTCATATCCCTTCATGATCGCCTAACTTTCCGTTTTTCGTATTACTCTGAATGGAACGTTTATTGACGGGGTCCAGTGTCCCGAAAACTGTCTGAATAACTACACATCGAAGAAAGCTTTCGCGACATAATTCTTTTCGACACATTACATATGGTGATTGCGTTTGTAAGATCATAAAAATATCCACTTGAATGAATGCATTTCGGTTTACGACGATGACAGCGGCCAAAAGTCAAAGAAAGCCAGCCCAGAAACGTGGACAGTAGTCAATGGTAGGAGCATAGCGGGTGTGGGAAGCAAAAAGCCAAATGGCTAACATTCTTGCGCTCACTTCCTTGCTTCTGGCATCATCATAAACGGAGCTGCGTTTAGGCAATCAGATGCTTATATTACTATCTTATACACGTAACCAACTCGGTTCTTTACGGCATTAGCTTTACTGCCTACGACCATATTTTAGGAATCCAAAACTTTGAGCATAGGCTGTAGCTTCAAGTGACTTGAAAATGTTAAAATTCAAATTGAGGTTAGCTGTGTTTTATCAAGGAATGTGTCGGCCATAACCAGTATCTAAAACTCTAGTGAGAACACTTCCAACTTCGTCACGTAAAGCCAACATTCAGATCTCTCAAAATACATGGAACGAGTTTGACCCATGTTTCTCAGGAGGAAGCAATTGAAATGAACCTATTTGGTGCGACATCTCTTCTAAGGTGATCAACTGCCGTTGGAACACCAATCGATCTTCCATCAGTGCGGAATGAACAATCGCAAGATCGGCAGAAAGAAAACAGGCTAAACCGATAAACAGTCCCGAATTCAGCACACCCAAGTCCCGAACTATTCGGAAAATTTCCACCCGTTCAGCTTGATGAACAACAATTTTAAGTATCGTTTCATAGTTCACAAAATTGAACCTAATCATTGTTGACAGGATATTAAACATGCTGAAGTCTGTTGACGAATGGTTCTAAACAAAACAAAAAGATAAAGTGATAAAAGAGAGAATTTTGCACCCTAAAAATTCAGGTGAATGCACCATTTGCCAAAATGAAGCCATCTGTTTGAACACAAGATAATCGTCAGCATTCAGGATCCAACGATTAACAGAACCCAGTTGCGGTTAAGTACAGGAGATTGACGTGGATAGTGATGAATTTTACCGGCATAAAAGGAAACTGGCAACCGAATGCAGGACGGTAAGGGTAATAGGAAACCTTTTGAATAGCGGAGCACATGAAAAGAGCAAAACTGGCTAAAACCAGAAGCACTGAAGCAATCGTTTCCGGGGGCTTCATTTGGTGAGCGACTCTAACGTATAAGTAAAATATGGACGAGTGAAAGGACACGGATTCGGATCGTGTTAGATTACTTCATGTTCTTCTTGATCACCATCAAAAGTGATCTTGACTTCGCACATACTCATTGTTGTAGTTCGTATTGTTTTGTTGTTAATATAAAGTGAAAACCTATTTAGTATTTGGGTTTCAATTTTTGCATTCTAAACGACTGAAATCAAAGGGTCAGTAAATTAACTAATATAATATATCGTATTTTTCACTTAATAATGTAGCGCTTGGCAAATTCAGAATGCAGTGTGGCAACGTGCTGTTTTAGATGCAAAGGGAAGTTTTGCGAGATCCATGGAGAGAACAATTGGCCTAGATAAGCAACATGAGCGTACAACTTTCCAGTTAATTTGAACCAAATAGTAGAACTGAGTAGGCCAGAACCAACAAACGTGTACACTGACATAATATTCACACCGGACTCACCACATCGATTTCCGTGTTAGAATGACCCATATTGCATACCACACAGCCATTTTTCATACGATCCATGTGAGCACGGGTTACAACAGATTTGTTGCCTGTACATGTGATCACAACATCGACCGTGCGAATGACCTCGTCAATTTTCACCACCCGATATCCATCCATACTACAATATGAACAGAGTTAGAGATCAGTTGTGTCGGCGAACGAATTTGTCAATTGGTGCTGAACAGGTGCAAAGCTGCCAGCTGCCTCGGCGAATACAACTCATATCGTCATGTTGTGTTTTGAGCCTCATCCTTATACTTATTAATAGAAGATAGACATGGTTTGTGGGAGGGCTGTCAGTAACACCATGAAAAACATGAAAATCTTTAACTTGCCCCCGGGGGTAATTCAATTCGAAAAATTAATCAGAAACTAATACAAAAGGAACTACAGAAAATCTCGTGGAAATAAGAGAAACTATAGGGGTGGATAGAAAGCGGAACTGTGCCAAAGAGATTCATCACAACTCTGTATACCCATCATTATCTGCAACAACGTCCGTTCATTGCTGGGAAATTATCAGTTATACCTGATTTTGTGAGCAATATGGAATTTTCTAAGCATGGTGCAATTATATTACAAGAGACCTGATTATATAGTGGTATTGATAAGATTACTAACATCGACGTCATCATGGGATACCGAGTTGACCGTCCGGCAGTGCATCGGAAGAGTGAACTTGTTTAAGTAACAACTGGTGCAAGAATGTGAATCGGATATACGCTCAATCCACTGGTTACACTTGTGTCTTCGTACATAAGTGCAAGTCCAGGCACCTGAGTAACTATTGGTCAGGCATTTTAGCCAACATTGACATTTCTCCTACTTGTCCCTCAGAAAAACGTCTTCATTTTTCAGATATTTTTTCCACAGCTTTATTGAGTTAAGTTGATTCCTCGTCATGTATAATCTGTGAAGACTTCAATTACGTCGACATCAGCTGCTTCACTGTTCTTGATTTTACGAATATAATGAGCTTTCCAACAAAGCAAAATGCACAGTTGGACATGTGTATTGTCAATAATATCAGCCTTTTCCGTATCTGTCTTCTTGGGTCTGACAAACTATTCACTTGTTGAAGTTTCTCCAAAAGTGTATAGCAAGTTTATTCACAAAACGTTTGGGAAAAGACACTACAACAAAAGAAGGAAACATCAATATAACTCAGAGAACCCCAAGAATTTCAGTGTGATGGTATCCCATACAGACCAGTGTGTTCCAGCACCCAAACGTCTATTACAAAATATGTTGCCCTTGGGAGACACCACCTTTGCTATCTCGTCTCCTCATCTGAAACGTTTACGTAGAGTCAAGGAAAGGAAATACAGACGCAAATATTATCACTTGCTATCAAAGGTGAGCTACATCGACTGAACAGCGTCCGTAAACGCATACTCCTACTTAGACTAGAAATACCACCAAGCAATTGAGTGGTCAATCGGCAACCATGACTCCAACACAAATCGACGTTAGGAAGCTAAGTAGAACATTGAGTGAAGGAAACAGTAACAGAGAGACGGAGTCGACCGTTGACAGCACAAATACCGACCTCAGCGATAAAGAACCCTTCACTATTCGACGCAAAAATGGTTGGAAGGAGTTGGTGATTCTTAAACCCACCCGGTCCCCACAGGTTGGAGGTTATCATCATTTAGTGCACTCACACTGTCGTCGGTGCTCACGACTGCTTAACCAGTGGTTGATTAACAGAACTATACCTGATTGTTGGAGAGCTGCCTTTATCACTCCAGTGCATAATAAAAGAGGTGCCTCGAAATTTCATCCCATCACATGTAAGTCTGTTGTGTTGAAGCTTTTCGAGAAGTGATTTCTAAAGGAATGTCATCTCACCATAATGTGCTGGACCCTAACCAATTAGTGCACCGCCGCTTCCGCTCCACACAAGACACCCTAGCTTTTCGGATTCACTATCTTCCATCAGCAGTCGATGGAAGTAAGAAAACTGTCAGAATACATTTCTTGGAATACTCCAACACCTTCAATTGAGTCGATAAACCTACTTTGTTAAATAGTTTATCTTCCAGTGGGATATCGCACACAATAGCTGCGGTACTCACAGACTATTCCGAAAATCCACCGCAGTTTACACGTTACCATGGCCATTCCTTCTTTCCTGTAATCTCTAAACTAGGTATACTACGGAGTATCATTCTATTTCAACCATGCTTACTTTTCTAAACTCCCTGCTTATTAAATACGCAGACGACTTTGTTGTCGGAATCGCCCACCCTGATGCATCTGCCACGTCCATCCTTCAACTTGACATTTCTAACCCTGTTGATTGTTCCACTGCACACTACTTTATTCTCAATCGTTCTAAATGTGTGAACAAACTATCCTCATTTCTCATAGCGGTTCGTTATGCAAATCTCTTAGAGTCCTGTCCCATGATAAACGTACGTAATGATACCATTATTCAACCCGTACATGTTAACTATCTCGGTGTGTTGAGCAGCCGAAGTTAGGATGGTATCACCATGTTACTTTTGTAGTTGGAACGGTCGGGACAATAATCATTCTATGTCCTAAACCTTTTTCATTACACACTTTCGTGTGATGAACAGCAGATGGGAAAAGCCCCGTAGCCACGAGGACCTGATGTTTAGTGATAGAAAACGGTCACTTAAGCCCCGAGACTTGGAGTGGCGATAGGTTAGGTTCGGTATTGAACCTGACGATAGCACAGCTGCCTGCCAACACCTAAAAGCTTTAGCTGTCGCTCACGTGTGGATCCACTGTTTTCTTTTTGCTTGCTTTTCCCCTGTAATCTTCCCAGGGGTACTTGAGAACGGAATTAATTTGCTTTCCAGATCCTTGACACGTTTATCTAGAAGTAGCGGATTTCCCATAAAATTCATCGTTTCACAACATCGTTATCCACAAAAGTCACGAACAACCGTTGGCATCCGTTACACGCAGATCTTAGAAAGCGTGGTTCCTCTTCTTCCATCCGGTCCCGCTATAAGTGTTTATTTGTTCGCAGAACCACCTGTCGGTCTTCCGTGATACCTTTTCATGCCCGATTTCTTGTTAATTCAGAAAGCGTCGCTTATGAACTACACTCACTCATACAGTAATTTGTTTTGTTTTGTTCCTGCGTTCCACAATTCTGACATAATTTCGCTTGATTATTAGTTATAATTTGTCTATGTGGCTGCTGCATATTCACCTTTCGGGGTACATAAGCATATACTTGACTTGGGGATATAAACAAATTTGTGGTCAAAATAATTTGACCACTTTGGTTCGGCGTCAATACCCTAAAGATGCAGATAATTCTCTAACTAAAGTTACCTACATATCTCCCCTGTAAAACGTGTAGCAACCATGGATTAACTGCACACCGTGATCATTTGGATATTACAAAGGGTAACACAATTATTGAACATGAGATATAAAAATGATTGCTGCTAAAGTTACTTTTGGGTATTTTATACGAAACAATACTTTTAATCCACCATGTTAAAAGATCAATTGTGCTTACACTTAAATTGGCCTCCTAGATACCATTATAATGCCTCTGAAACCATGTTTTGACAAAGGCTGAAGACTCTGGCGGTTCAATTTGACTATGGAGGCTACACTAACGAGATCGGGAAGATGTAACTTGGAATGTCGATATAACGATATAACCGTGCGAATGTTTGTCATTTGCGAAACGTGAGCGCGATTTCCTCAACAAAGAGTCACATATTTATCGATAACTTGAGCAACTGAGCAGTAATTTGAAGCCGCTTTGTGTAATAACGCGTCAACATTCATTATGATCCACGGGTACTATCATATCTCATAAAATTTCAGACGAGAAAAAAATGACAAGCGTTCAAGTTAGTCTGGAACTCGATAAGCTTTTGAAGAAACTCAAGCTGCGAGTGAGCTAATAGCCAATTTTTAGTTTATTATCTTATTAATTCATGTTATTCAGCCGTTGTATAACATATTTAACGTACGCTTAACAGCACATCTGTATTTGCAACAAAATCCTCTTACCATGCCTGAAGAGCGCAAATAGGGTCCGTTTCGGTAACGCACACAAAAGCACCGATACCTTTCAAGGCGTGACACACCCCTTTGCCAACTTCACCGTATCCGCAAACGAGAATGGTTTTGCCACTGATCATCATGTCTGTTGTACGTTTTAGGCTGCAAGTACGAGTGTAAAGGAGGTTAAGAGAAAATGAACGTTAAAATAAACCGAATACCGTGCGGGGGTTGATAAAACAAATTGGACGGTTATTCAATTTAATAGAGATACTCTGCGATCCTATATGGAAAACAAATTCCGTCGCAGTAGCCTTTTTTTGTTCAAATACAATTTGATTAAGACCGTGCACAGCCAGCTAGCATTGTTGCGATCCAATCGAGTAGAAGCATTGAGGGGATTTTCGTGGTAACGAGAAATGAGAAAATGCGTTGGTGCTGGTGGCAAACGATTTCAGTTTACCGCAAACAGTGGAGGTTATTTATCTATTGCGACTTATCAATTTCCCTGAAATAAGTGAAACAGTCAGCACAACAGCTCTAGCTTAACCGAAACGCTTTACTGACCTCGGCAATGATACCACTGTCAACGGGAAACTACTTAGCGTAAAGAGCCTCAAGTGTTAAAGCAACATCCTAATGACTAGGCGGCGGTCAAATTCATCAACATTTATAAAATCAACAATTAAGCTGGGAATATATTATTGGCAAGTGTTGATGGACAGGCTTTGTCTAGGCACACACTCCTTTCGCTTTTGATTTGGCTGAGATCACCATTTGGTATGAACGTTACGAGAAAAAAATTCAGTAAAATGGTGATGAATTAATCACACTTATAAGGCTGATCTCAAGCTAAGCCTAATTGTACAATATTGACAGACGAAAATGGGAATTCGTTAAAGGTGTATCGTCATTTTCCGTTTACCAGAGTTCGACACTATTACTCCGAATCTGCCATTCTCTCCAACTTTGCTTAAGATGACACCCTATAGAATATCTTTTTCCGGTCTCAATTTCAGTACAATGGGTCTCTACTCTGAGAAAAGTCACCACTCTGTGATTTGTTCCATCCGAGTGAAAAGTGCTTGCGCATGCACCGCTAAGGGACATCGCTTCTGCTAAACCCACGTTTTAAGGGTGCAGATTACAAATTTATAACTTTGGAAAGAGGGAGATGCCAAATCATTATAACGCTTCTCGACGTGCCAGATATCGCTGGGGTAAACCGCTTAAACGGTAATTTATATTAGGAAATGGAGATAAACAAGTTAAAACTATCAAGCAACCTGAGATTCGCTTGATAGAAAGCGTGTCAGATGAGGCCTCGCTGATGACCGAGAGTTCAAGTTAACCGCAACGGTTCCAAAGAATTTAAAGAATGTCTGAATCACACGAAATCTGGCATAGTGCTGAGTCACAGCTAGTGCGTTGCCAAACCAAACTATATGGGACGGTAATCGCATATGGAAGCGCCCGTTACCACAAGACATTGGAACCTGTGCATTTGCGATAAGCGGGTCCTAAGTCAGTCAGTGAAAGCAGTGACATCGTGTTCTGTGTTATGTTTTCAATTTCAATCTTACTTTACCTCACTCAAACAAATCACTGTTTTGTTTCACCAACAGAAAAACGGTGTTCGGATACATCAAACTAATTATACTGTTGCAGTCCCTGCTCGATGACTGATGCATACCATCCGACCTAAATGGAATGTAACTATTGTTTCTCTATCCGTATGCATTCAGGTGTTTACCACAATCTAAGTGCAGGATGATCTATCATCCAGCATGCACACAAGAGAAGCGTGCAAAACCGGAAAGGGGTACGTGCCAAATTGTTAAGTTTCAGGGGCAAACATGTGTCATGTATGGCAAACGAATGCGTACGAAACGGACTAAAATGAATCGGAAGTTGGTCGTAAACACTGATTGATACTTTGATGGATTAACTGAGAGAATACAGTCAAAAAGGTAAAAACGTCAGATATCACGACTTCAAATAAAGCAACATTTCCTTAGGATCAAGGATGAATACAGATGTTTATGAATCACCGTACGCCAAAATTAAACAGACAGTTAATCTTTTTCGACAACACAAAATGCACGGTATTCGTTTCGATTCAGCGAAAGCCGAAGGCATTCTTTAACAGAAAGTGCACTAAAATCCATCATGCCAATCAATATAGTTGTTTGAGCGACAAAAATGTGCGAATAAAATGAGGGCACTCCGACCACGGGTATGACATGACGATTCCGCGATACGTGTGTCGTTTATTGATATTTTGTGACGATTCACCAAATCCGATCAAGTGACGATTTGTGATTTGGTGCATATTGGAACCTATCGACAGGTATTCGAGAACTTCCGTCCAATATTGCTAGTCATTTTATCATTTCTGCTGATTTTCGAAATGGTGCCAGGGGGAAACTGGTCAAACAAACAAAAAGGGAAGGTGCTTGCAAAAGAAGGGCTCCGTATATCGTCCAACAGTGGCTACGACCAGGAAACTAGAAAAACCGGCAATTCATAGTGACCTAATGTCCGCCATTTTTTGCAATTCTGCTGATGAAACCCAAACAAATAGAAAATGCTGTACAGCGTTTCCCAGCTTCACACTCATTAGCTTTATGTATGACGAAATTTACCATATAACCATATCGATTCATCCACAACTTCCAAACAACTAACCTTTACTCTGGGTCGAAGACTGAAGGCAATAAAACCAATGTTGACCCATATAATTTATCAGAACACACACACACATTATTTTATTTTATTGGAAGAGCGTAACCGGCAAGTTTCTGAGTGTATTTGACAACATGACCAAGTGGATGCATGTAAGTAGAGAATAAAAAAGCGGGGGCGTGAAGTCCGGGGTTATTTTTACACTGTGTGTAGCTTCAAATGTTTTTTGGGGAATTCATTACGTTGGTTCCAAAGAAGATCACACGTAGCGACGGGAACCGCTTACAACATTCGTACAAATGATTGTCA